ACATCCAGCTGCAAGAGCTAGAGTGTGACTGGGAGGAACTCACTACATTGGGCCCCAATGGGGATGTTTCTGTCCTTCTTGACAAGAAGAGTGGGAAACAATACTCCATCGAGGATGCCCTGAGGTTTAGGAAGATTACGAAAGAGGAGTACCAGCTATACAGGGATGGCAAGATCCCAATCTCGGAATTTGCTCTGTTGGTAGCAGGGGAAACCAAGCCTCCCTCCTCTTTGTCCATTGGCTCCATCATCTCCAAGTCTCCACTTCCATCTCCGACAATGCAGCAGAACCAAAGATTCTTTCCTTCGAGCTTGCAAAAAGGCTTCTGCGACGACAGTTTCCCCATTGCCGGAGTGTTCGACACTACCACAGACACCAAGTGCAACATAAGAACGTCGGTCTCCAAGAAGATGCTGGATCCCATGACTGCTCAAAAGCTGCTAGAGGCCCAGGCTGCCACTGGGGGCATTGTAGACCTCATCACACGGGACCGGTATTCTGTCCACAAAGCAATAGACCGAGGGCTCATCGACAGCACCTACATGCAGAGGCTGATGAATGCCCAGAAAGCTTTCACAGGTATTGAGGACCCTGTGACCAAAAGGAGGCTGTCTGTAGGAGAGGCCGTTCAGAAAGGATGGATGACCAAGGACAGTGCCTTCCCCTACCTACAGGTCCAACACCTGACCGGAGGGCTCATTGATCCTAAGAAAACTGGTCGCATCCCAGTGTCAGAAGCTGCCCAGACAGGCATGATTAGCGATGACCTGGCCAAGATGCTCCAGGACGAGCCCAGCTATGAGAAGGATCTTACTGACCCAATCACCAAAGAAAAGATGAATTACAAGGAAGCCATGACTCGTTGCCGGAAAGATCCTCTAAATGGCCTCCTGCTGCTCCCAGCCGCCTCTGAGGGGTTTCAGACTCGTCGCTCTGTGAGCCCGTCTCCCATGCGGTCACGATTCAGGTACTAAGAAGGCTCCATGCACCCTCCAATCCCACCATGATATTAATCCAGGGCGGTGCTCACAGATGAACAGACTGCCTAGCATTTCTGGCTGCGCGCTATTATAGCAAACTGATCTCGCTTCCCCAGAACATGGGCCACGGAGGAAGAAAAGGCGTTCATCAGGGTGAAAGGGTTCTAGCATGGGCACCTCTGCCCTCTTGGGACAGGAGAGGGGGTTTTGTTTAAACAAATATGCTTGTGGTAGTTTAAACTATGTGACTTCCTGTCACCTGGAGTGGGAGGAAGGAGCCAAGGAGCGAACGTGCTCCTAAATGTGTTTGTTCTTATGCATGCAATAAAACTAGGTGTGTCTCCACTGTTGTGTTATCTTTGAAAATGGAGGATGGTCTCACCCACCTGTCAGTGTAAAGTCAAAACATGCAGAAGTTCCTGTGGGGCGGGGTGGGGCCTGAGGCAACCCCTCCCCCAGGACTCCAGGCTCAGGGCCCAGAGCAGACCCCACCCACCACAGGCCACACCCCACCGATACAAGCAGAGGCTGGGCAGCAGCAGGAGTTGCCCCGTTCCTACCCCCTCACACTCACCTTGGGAACCAGAGTAGCCCAGCAGCCTGCCCTGCCCTGTCCTCCCAGTTTGCTGTGCCTCACTTCTCCGTGGCAGTGGGAAGCAGAGCGCCCTGGGGCTGGGACACTCTGCTTCCTGCTGCCACAGAAAAGCCAAGCACAAGCGCTGGCAGAGGGGAAAGGGTGGGGCACCACGGAGCAGGCTGCGGGGCTCCACTGGCTCCCACCACCAGGGTGAGTGTAGGGGGCAAGGTGCTGCCCCACATGTGTCCCATCCATAGGAGGGTTGAGTCAGCCACTGTGGAACCTCCCGAAGCACAGGGCCTGGGGTGGCCTCCCTGAGCCATCTATGGACAGGACTGGTCTGTCAGTCACAATCCTCCAGGTCTTAAGCACCTCATGAAGCTGAGGTTCTCCTCTGCAGACCGTAACTGTGCTGCAACCTTGGAGCTTTCCTAGACAAGGGAGTCACCTTCTTTCAGTTAATCATCTATTGGAAAGGGATTAAAAAAACCTGCAGAACCATTCACTACTCTGCTGCTCCCCTTCCCAGCACACAAAGGGGCTATGGCCCCCTTAGATACATTGGTGCACCTTTAAAAATGTTACATAACTGCTCTTCAGTGCTGACTAAAAGCCTTGGGGGAATACTGTATAATTAAAGGATTGTGAGTTTTGTAATGCAGGTACTTAATTGCTCTGTACAATTTGCCCTCTGACATAGTCAATAGGAACAGATATTTACAAGGGCTGGGCAAACTGGTTTATAGGCAGGAAGCTAACCAAGCAGTCTGTGGTGTATCATGTGCAGCTTGCAGGCCCCTAGATTCAGAAGGACTAGGGATGAGCCAGTCTACTTTCCTGACCCAACAATGCTCAGGATCAGCAAAGAATAGTTTATGCAACCCTCCTCACAGACCTGGGATTTCAGCAGTAAGCATCACATCAGCATTTCAGACTGTTCAGTGGGGCAACGGGTTCCTCCTACTTAAAGATTTGGCAACAAAGTCTGAACTGCCCCAAGAACTACTAGCTTGCTTAGCAGATTTTGCCTCTTTCCTTTCTCTTGGAATTTTCATGAGCACATGGTGAGTTTCTCAGATTGCTATTCAAAGGGTAATTGATACAAATTGGTCATCCATGTTTGAAACTCAAACTGTGTGGCTTGAGTGGGCTGGATCAGATAAGCCTCATAGTATTGTCTCTCTTCCCTGATTGGATCAGTACATGGGTACTACTTCCCTTGTACTGCTTAAAAACAAACAGCAGTGTCCAATCATATTGATTTTAAAATGGAAATAAATAGCTGCAAATAATTATTTTGGCATGATTCATATATAGCTAATAAATACTTTGCCTCTACAGCTATGTCTACACTGGCCGTTTCTTGCGCAAGAACATCTTGCGCAAGAAAACATCCACACTGCCACGTGCGTACTGTGCTTCTTCACAAGAGCGCCCATGGCAGTGTGGATGCTCTCTTGCGCAAGAAACTTCTGATGTCCATTTTAGCCATAGGGCTTTCTTGTGCAAGAAATCCCTGCCAAGCATCCACACTGCCTGCATGCGCAAGAGGGCTTACGCTCTTTTTTATCAGGTGTAACTCTTGTGCAAGGAGCCCTCTCTTACCACGCCGTACTGTCAATTTCCTTGCACAAGAGCGGGCAGGTAGTGTGGACGCTCTGCAGATTCTGGTGCAAGAACGGCCGTACTTGCGCAAGAAGCCACGAGTGTAGACATAGCCTACAAGTGCTTAAGACCAAAGCAGACTGTGAAGAGCTTCAAAAAGATCTCACCAAACTAAGTGATCGGGCAACAAAATGGCAAATAAAATTTAGTGTTGATAAGTGTAAAGTAATGCACATTGGAAAAAATAATCCCAACTGTACATACAATATGATAGGGACTATTTGGCTACAACTACTCAAGAGAGAGATCTTGGAGTCATTGTAGATAGTCCTCTGAAAACATCCACTCAGTGTGCAATGGCAGTCAAAACCGCAAATAGAATGTTAGGAATAATTAAAAAAGGGCTAGAGAATAAGAAAGAGGCAATATGATATTCTCTATATAAAACCATGGGACGCCCACATCTTGAATACCACGTACAGATGTGGTCGCCTCATCTCAAAAAAGATATATTGGCATTGGAAAAGGTTCAGAAAAAGACAACAAAAACAATTAGGGGTTTGGAACAGATCCCATATGAAGAGAGATTAAAAAGACTTGGACTTTTCATCTTAGAAAAGAGGAGACTAAGGGGGGATATGATAGAGGTCTATAAAATCAGGATTGGTGTGGAAAAAGTGAATAAGGAAAAGTTATTTACTTATTCCTACAATATAAGAACTAGGGGTCACCAAATGAAATTAATAGGCAGCAGGTTTAAAACAAACAAAAGGAAGTTTTCCTTCACTCAGCGCACAGTCAACCTGTGGAACTCCTTGCTGGAGGATGTGGTGAAGATTAGGACTTTAACAGGGTTCAAAAAAGAGCTAGGTAAATTGATGGAGGTTAGGTCCATCAATGGCTATTAGCCAGGATGGGTAGGAATGGTGTCCTTAGCCTCTGTTTGTCTGGAAATGGGTGACAGGAGAGGGATCACGTGAGGATTACCTGTTGTGTTCACTCCCTCTGGGGCATCTGGTATTGGCTACTGTTGGCAGACAGGATACAGGGCTGGATGGTCTGACCCAGTATGGCTGTTCTTATGTTCTTAGAAAACATAAAATTTCACTAGAGTACAACCTTGCACCAACTTTTTTTTGTATGTACAATGTTCTTAGCTGCTGCTTTCCGAGGAGAGCAGCAATGAGGACAAGAAGACTGGAACAGTGTATCGATAAGAGGTGCCGAGAGCCCTAAACAATAACCCCCATATATTATGGAAACCACTTCAAGCCAGGGAGTGCTAGTCCCAGGACCTATGAATGAGGATTCAACAGTGTTCTCATTCCTTAGAAATGAGCAAATCTGAAAGTAACCCTTAATTGGGGGCAGCCTAATCCCCCAAAACAGCTGTTTCATGAGGTCTTCTGACAATCGTTTGATTTGCAGTGTTGCAGCCATGTTGCTCCGAGGACATTAAAGACAAAGTAGGTGAGGCAGTATTTTGTTATTGGCCCAACTCCATACCAACTTTTGTTTAAGAGAAACTCTGTTTCTCCATGCAGCAGTGATGTCTTTGTGGAAAAATCAGCAGAAGACACAAAACACTGTGTGATGCTTCAGCAGCTGACAGGAGTTGTGGCCTGTACACAGAAAAACGAAGGTGGCAAAGGGAAAAAAGAAGGCCTATATAAAGAAATGGACCAACTCGAAAAGCTGGTGCTGTGGACACCAGCTGAGGTTTTAACATACGCGAGAGGTTGTCAGATTCTATCACTGCCTTGAGCCATTGGGTTGCTAAACAATTTAGCAGCCTATAACATAAACAATCGAGATTTATGAACAAAACATATGCATTTATTTAATATAGAAGAGACTCCCCACAACTGCATCGAAAATTAGTGCTAAATCTTTTGAAAGATAAACAGTAAATTCGTTTTTCAAAGCTAATCAAAGTAACTGAACTAGAGGTGTGTGTGGACAACAAAAGGGAGTCTTCTCCAGAATTGTGACTTCACACATTGTCCTAGTTAGAGGTTTTGGTTCTCCTCCTAGCACAATGAAGATCATTCTTAAAATAATTGCACTTGCTGTTTAACTAGGAATTTAAACTCTAAAATTCTTAAACAGAATTGCATTAGATACAAAGATGTATCTAATACCAACAGCCCCTAGTCTTCTTAATAGCACTAAAAAGTGGTGCTCATGTCAGTCTGCAGTAGCTCCCCCCACTGCTTTAGGTCAAGCACTAGCTGATGCTGGGAGTGAAACTGACACATATTTGCAATTTGAACCAAAACCAGGACAGGATAATCTATGGGTTCTGAAAGAGAAAGGCAATCTGCATTGCACCAGCCATCACGTCTGCTACGCACCCCACCAAAGAGGCAAGCATTTGGAAGTGGCTTTAGACTCTGAGAATCTACTTCCCACCTCTCCCCCCTCCCCCCCCCGTCAGCTAATGGATGGTGTCATCAGGCCCATCTCTATCATATGTAACAACAACCTCAATAAGATCTAACTGCCATAACACATATCCCCAGCAATGGTTGACAGCCTCCAACTCCCTCTGTTTAACTGAGAACTAACACTTCCGGGTCCCTTTATAATACACAGGCATTTCAGCCCTAGCCTGTGTATTACAACACAGGCCAACCTCCTGCTTAAGCCACCAAAAGGATCAATGCCCTGATGCACAGAGCCCAGCATCAAGAATCCAGGTGGGCAGGTGGTGCTGCAGCCTTTCATCTGCAGTGTTTCTGCAGCAAGTGTTGGTCTTTGGTGTCACGGGGGCTCTGCCAGAAGTACCGGTGGTTCAGTGCTGCCTTGGCTGAGATGCGCCTGTCAGGGTCATACAGCAGCAATTGCTGCAAAAGAAACCAAGAGGATTTGGTTTTTTAAAGCAGAATGTTTAATTGACCCAAATGTAAAGTTTTCCAATAGCACAAACCAGTGCCATGTCCCCTTGGTGAGACTCCGGCCTCCAGCCGGTAGCAATTATTATATGGTGCTAATAAGCCCAGAGGGCTTTGTGGACTTTAATCAAGCATGGCAATGTCCAAGTCAAGTAGATATAGACTGATATCCCCATTTTACAGAAGTAGAACCCGAGATCCACAGAAGTTGCGATTCACCTAAGTCTTAAGGTCATAGCGTAGCAAGGCTTCGTGTGGAACCCAGATCTGCTAGTCCCCAGAAAGGTGCCCAACCACCAAGCCACATGGTTTTCCAATTATTTAGAAAAAGGATGGTGCCCAAAAAGCCCTGTAGGGTCTGTGTCCATGGACCTTGCCTGTCTAAGCTGGGTCAGAGCTAGCACATTGTGCCCTGAGCCGGGGCGGATGAGAGTTTTGCAGGGCCCAGGGCAGCACAATTTCATGGGGCCCTCCTTTGGAGAAAAAATACATCAAATGCTCAAATTGAAGGCTGTTTTCATATTACATGTGAATTGGGTAAATTTGATAGAAACTTAGTTTAGTGGGATAATTTTTATTTTTATTATATTGTAATTCATTTTTAAACAAAATTCTGCATTAATAATTAAACATTTTCATTTGTATTTAAGTCTGTTCTAGCTGTCTAGCTCTTTTGGCAGCACATTCTTCAATTATGTCAGTAAAGTCCATTTCTTTACACAGGTCGTTTTGAATCAATATAATCGAAAGACCTACAAAACGCTCCTGGCTCACAGTAGATTCTCTTTGACTGCCCATGGCTGGTATTTTCCATGCAGTGTTGGGTGTTTGGCAGCCAGGCAGCATTGGGACATGCGAGGGCCAGGTGGAGTGTGTGTGTTGGGACTTGGGGGGGGTACAGGAGGCGTGTGGGTGTTGGAGGTTGGGGGGGGGG